TATTGCCTGTACTTCTGTTCCTCTCACAACCTCTCTAGAAGCAGTGGCAGTTCGTATTCTTCTTGACCGCCTTATTACGCTTGTTTCACTTTACTTGCCACCAAATATTCCACTGCATGTACATGACCTGCATGGACTCGTAGCGCAGCTTCCGCAACCTTTTTTAATCTTGGGGGATTTTAACGCCCACCACCCCATGTGGGGTAGTGCTCGCCAAGACTCCCGTGGTGGTGTCATTGAAAGATTTTTATTGTCATCCGGCCTTTGCCTTTTAAATGTACATAATCCTACATTTTTTAGTGCATCTCATAATACTTTCAGTTCCATCGATTTGTCTCTTTCATCCCCAACTTTACTTCCCTGTTTTTCTTGGAAGGTTTTAGATAACCCTTTTGGGAGCGACCATTTTCCTGTCTTTTTAGAAAGTACTGTAGCACCTCCATCACTTTCAACACGTATCCCCAGGTGGAAATTAGACAAAGCTGACTGGGCTTTTTTTGCATTGGAAGCAGTGCTTGACCCAGCCGAACTTTTAGCTACGACTCCGGAAAATGCCACCTTGTACGTTACGGACCATATCATAAATGCTGCTTCAGCCTCTATTCCACAAACATCTGAAAATCTTCCTAAGCGCTGCAAGCCTTGGTGGACCAAAGACTGTTCTGTTACGCTTAAACGTCAGAACAGGGCCTGGAGCACTTTCTGCCGCTACCCAACGGTCTGGAACAAGATAGAGTTTTAAAAATGTAAAGCAAAGGCTCGTTGGACAAGGAAACGAGCTAAGAAAAGCTCATGGATGAAATATGTTTCCAAGGTGAACAGTTTTGTCACTACTAAAGAGGTGTGGGACCGAATGAGAAAAATTCGGGGTAACTACCTCTCTTTTAGAACGCCTCTTTTTCCCTCGGCTTCGCCAACCTTGAAAGGCCAGGCAAATGTTCTTGCGGAACATTTTTGTAAAGTGTCTAGCTCATCTAATTATATTCGGCAAAATTTAAGAAGTTCAAAGCTGTAGCAGAAAAGCAGCCAATTGCTATGTCAGGATCAGACACTCTTGTATACAACCAGCCTTTCACAATGTGCGAACTCGACGTGGCCCTTGGGTCAAAAAAGCAGTCGGCACCTGGTCCTGACAAAATCCACTATGAAATGTTGCGGCACTTGTCTCCTGAATCTCTAGGCCATTTGTTAACCTTTTTTAATCATTTGTGGATGGCTTCTGCCTTTCCTCAGTGCTGGAAGCGGGCACATATAATTCCTCTCCTAAAACCCGGTAAAGACTCTACTCTACCAGCAAGTTATCGTCCCATTGCAATGACCAGTTGCCTTGGGAAAACTTATGAAAAACTAATAAATACACGATTAGTACACTTTTTAGAGACTGAGGGAATTTTAGATCCCAATCAGTGTGGGTTTAGAATGGGGCGATCAACATTGGATCATCTTGTTCGCCTGGAAACTTTCATACGTGAAGCTTTTGTTCATCGACAGCACTGCGTTTCAGTATTTTTTGACCTAGAGAAAGCTTATGATACTACCTGGCGTTACGGGATTCTAAAGGACTTATACACACATGGTGTCCGTGGCCGCATGTTGCGCTGCATAAGGGAGTTTTTGACTAACCGAACTTTTCAGGTTAGGTTTGGTTCCACACTTTCGGATGTTTTTCCTCAGGAGAATGGCGTCCCTCAGGGGGCTGTATTGAGTGTCACTTTGTTTGTGGTGAAGATAAACAGCCTTGCTGCAGTGATACCTCCATCAGTTTCATATTCATTATATGTAGATGACGTGCAGATTTCCTTTTCGTCCTGCAATCTCTCAAGTTGTGAGCGCCAGCTTCAACTCTCAATAAACAAAATGAGCAATTGGGCCGATGAAAATGGTTTTAAGTTTTCATCTGAAAAAACAGTGTGTGTGCCATTTTCACTATGTCGTGGTATGTTGCTTGATCCTTGTTTGCAGCTCAATAGCACTGCAATACCTGTAAAATACGAGCACAAATTTTTAGGGGTTATTTTCGACAAGAAACTTACTTTTGTGGCTCACATCAAGGAGCTGAAGCAGAAATGCTTGCGGTCGTCTAACATTCTCAAAGTGCTTTCACACACATCCTGGGGGTCTGACAGACGGTGTCTCTTACGACTTTATAACTTCTTGGTGCGGTCCCGTCTGGACTATGGCGCGATTGTTTATGGGTCGGCACGTCCGTCTGCCCTAAAAATGTTGGACCCCGTCCATCATCTGGGGCTCAGGCTTGCCACGGGAGCATTTCGAACATCACCTGTGCTTAGCTTGTATGCTGATACACATCAAATGTCTTTGGAAAGACGAAGGCAGTATTTGAGTCTTTGTTATGCTTACAAGATATACAGCTATCCTGAACATCCCACTTTTGATGCACTTCAACCTTCTACGTCCTTCCGACTCTTTGAAAACAAGCCGAGCATTGTTCGGCCCCTGAGTTTCAGAGTGCAGAGCATGGTAACATCGCTCCATCTCCCCTTTAGTGAGGCTGCTGTGTTGAGGGGCAATGAGAGAGTTGCGCCTTGGGACCTTCTGCCAATTTCTTGTGACTGGTCACTGTCTAAGTACAGAAAGGGAGCTGTTTCTCCACTCGTTCTTCAGCAGGAGTTTGCCGATTTAGAACAGAAATACAAGGACTACTCGCATTTTTACACTGATGGATCGAAAACATCAACTTTTGTGGGGTGTGCAGTTTATTCCATTACCTTCAGCAAAGTTCGACAACTCCACACTGTCGCAAATATTTTTACTGCCGAATTGTACGGTATTTTAATGGCTGTGGAGTACTTATTAGAGAACAATATCATGAAAGCAATTCTGTTTGTCGACTCTCAAGGCGTTCTTCTAGCCGTTTCGTCCTTAGCAGACAGCAAGAACCTTCTCGTGCAATGTCTTCGGGTACGGCTTAACCGAGCACTTCAACTAGGACACCAGATTAAATTCTGCTGGGTCCCAAGCCACGTGGGTATTTCCGGCAATGAAAAAGCAGACTTGCTTGCTGCCTCTGCAAAAGAGTACCCAAAACTGCCTCTTGGCCTGCCACACCAAGACCTGAAACCGATCATACAGAAATCGATTATGAAGTCATGGCAGTTGGATTGGGATTTGGAAAAAGAGAACAAGCTTCATGTTATCAAGCCCCAACTGGGGGTATGGGAGAGTTCCTTCCATAAAGTCCGTCGGGTTGAGGTTCTCCTTTGCCGTTTAAGAATTGGTCATACCCGTTTGACTCATTTGCACCTGCTCTGTGGTGAAGATGTTAAACTTTGCGACAAGTGTGGCAAAGATATGACTGTTTTGCACATCCTGTGGCATTGCAAAGCTTTAAATCCAGAGCGCCGAAAATGTTTTCTTGAACTTTTTCGCGATCACCTCCCCTTTCATCCATATTTCCTGCTTGGCGATGAACCATTGGTACCATTCGATCGAGTTTTAAATTTCCTTCATAACACTGGCCTTTTACACCAGCTGTAACTTGCAGTACTTTTAGATCACACCTCTAAGCCCTTTGGGAAAACCTTCGTTTGGCGCAATATGGCCTAAGTTGCTCTTGCGCCATAAAACCCCAAATCATCATCATCAAAAATAATAATTATGGAGAAGAAACAACTATTTGCTATGATGGCCTACTTGATGCTGGACCATGAACAAAGAAATCTAAGGTGGTAGAGAAAAGGAGAGGGACAGGCACAGTTTTTGAGATGTTGTTTGTCCCCTTCTTTCTCTACTGCTTTGGATTTTCCGTGCCCTAGTCTTGGGTGACTTCCTTCAGTTTACCTGCACACTAGTAGTAACTGTCAGAACTTCGACATCTTGCTGCATCTTTTTTCCGTCCAGAATTTACTTTTAAATTTCCTCGTATTTGGAATCGCCAAGGTGAAGGTCAAGGCCATATATGACAAATATTAGCAAGTTATACATACACTGCACGGCATCGTTATTGCGAGCTCGACATAGGCACTTTCTTGCACTCTACTCCAAAAGGGCAGACTCCTAAATTTACCGATCTAGTTACAGTGCCAAATGAGCACTTCTAGCCACACAAGTAGTTTTGATGGCAGTCTTTCGACTTTATGCGAAGAATGGGGGAAGAAAAGGATTGCTCGTTTGTTGTAACAGTGTCACACTATGCACAAATAAAAAAAGCGAAAGCCGTTTACAACTCCCTGTAACGCCGAATTAGAGCGCAGCTCTTGAGGAGGAGGAGGGAAGGATACTGGGGGGGGGGGGGTCAACTGACCGGGGGGGGGGGGTCACGTGAACTGGGAGTCACGGGACGATGACAATGCCGATGATGTCATCACTGACGTCGCTGATGACGTCATCAGTGACGATGACGATGTGGATACCGATGATGATGTCGTCACCGGCATCCGCATCGTCATCGTCATCATCACTGATGGCGTCATATCACCGACATCCACATCGTCATCATCACTGGTGACGTCATCAGTGATGTCACTAATGACGTCATCAAGGATGATGACGATGACGATACGGATGTCGGTAAAGTCATCAGTGACGTCACTGATGACGTCACCAGTGATGATGACGATGCCGGTGACGTCATCAGTGATGATGAAGATGACGATGCCGGTGACGTCATCTGTGACGTCACTGATGACGTCATCAGTGACGATGACGATGCGGATGCCGGTGACGTCATCAGTGATGATGATGACGATGCGTATGCCGGTGACGTCATCAGTGACGATGACGTCATCGGGGGTCACGTGACCTTGGGAGGAACATGCCCCCCCCCCCCCCCCCCCCCCGAGGTCACGTGACCTAGGGGGAGGCTCGCGCGGTGCATTATGGGACATTCCCCATAATGCACCGTGCGGTTACGCCGACGCCGACGGCGACGCCGCTCAAGCCGGAAACGGGCGCCTAAGAGCTGCGCTCTAAAAAGAAAACAAAAAAAATCTGAAAGCCTTTGCTTTTTTTAAAATCGAGATTGTGCTGGATTTTTGCAGGAACTGACCACACCCGACGAGAACTTGGCCTACATCTCGAAGCTACTGGGACCCCCAACTGGGGAGGTTGAGCCCGCTGAGGAGGAGGGGATGGTGCGCGATTACGAGCCCACCCCGGTCGCGCAGTGCACCCTGGAGGAGTATGCGTCCAGTTCTGGGGCACAGCTGCCGCCCGAGAGCCCGCCCCGCAAGCGTTCCAGGTTCACGGAGAACTCCGGAACGCCCCGAGCGCGGGACGTCGTCAACTGCTTCCTGCACCCCGACGTGGTTCGCCTGGTTGCCGAGAAGTTGAAAGAGCTCCGAGCACCGCCAGCAGAATGAAAGTGGTGTGGGTTTGCAGTTATCGAAAAAACGTTTTTCAGTTTCTGCACTTCTGATAGGAAGAACCGTTAAAACTACGGGTGTCCAGCGTACTGCGGAGACCAAAACGCCGCGAAGGTCTCCGAGGCTTTAAAAATAAATAAAAAGAGACAAACTTCACTACCATCGTCGCCTGCTATAAACTTTATTCCATAGGTGGTTCGAGGGGAATATCGCCTCGAGATCGAAGAGAGTAGCCACTGTGCGGCCGATGTTGGAAACACTGCTAGTGTAGACATCGCCGCACGTCATCTGCTCTCGGCGCACGTTGAAACATGGATCCTCGCGACAATGAAGGCTAGTTTTCGAGTAAACTGCACTATTTACGTTGTGAATGCTTGTTTTTTCGAAAAGATTGTATCGTTCCCCAAGAGTGGAAATAAGCGAAAGCAAGGAATGTCAAGCCGGATACTTATATGATGTTGCTACTTTGGCTGTTGTTGTGATGTGGTTATTTGTTTCAGTTTCAGTGCCATTGCATACTATTATGGAGTACATTGCCGACGGAAATCGGTGCCTTGTCGAAGGTGAACTTGTGAATGCCGGGCACACAGTCGTCGGCTCTCAGCAAGGATCGCTTGCCGTGCTGAATAACTATTGTTTGTAACTCCAACGGCCGGACATGTCTTTGAGAGAATCGCTTCGAATAATCCTCCTGATCGTTTTAAACGCCGCATATCTAAAACCGTTTATTTTTGCGATCCCAATTATTCATAAATTAGGCATAGGAATCTATTCACGGCCACTAACTCTCGCGAATTCTAAAGACTTGAATTCTGGCCACAAAACAAGAGAGGCATTTGCTTGCCTTTATTTTCGCTAATTTTGTAATTCTTGAAAATATAGGGCTCACGAAGCGTTTTGCAGTAGGCAGTGCAGTCAGTAGGCAATGCAGTCACTTCGGAAAAAGAATGGCTCGAGCTTTGTACGTTAGTGAGCTGTTAAACTTAGATGTAATCATGCCGTTTTCATGTAGCATGATTTGCTGTGGAAAATTTGTTTTTCAAGCAAAGTGGCACGAAACCTTTGCCACGTGGAGGGTTAGCGAAATTCATGGAGTATGAACACGTAATTGATTAGGCTCGATAGTCCCTGTTACTCCTTTGGTAGATTGACCAGTTGCCATCATCCCTATTTACTATGTATTTCCTACCGAACTTCAAGAATAGTGATGAGGTGCATCCGATGCATTTGCAGGCACCGAGTGAGTCACTTCCACTGCAGTCAGTGCCCCCTTTAGTGTGGCATTGTGTAGGGGTTTCGTAGGAGTGACAATTCTACAATGTTTGAAAAGTCCGATTCTCACGCAGCAATACGTTTGTGGCATTCGCATCCTCTCCAAAAACACCGCAGTGGGAGAACCCACACTAGTGACGATGACACTGCCCAGCAGCGAGCATCAAAGCGAACGCTTTATGCGCACTCTACTTTGGGCCACTCGTGACACTTATGTAAACAGTTTTATTTTTCCACTTACCTTGGTTGTCATGCATCGTTGGTTTGAAGTCTTCGGCGGTGAAATGTTTAGAGCAAACCATCGCGTGAATTAGATCTCAACTTCGAGAGCCACTCTTTTCTCAGTGCAGCAACAGCTGGATATCGGTGAAAACTGACCCCCACCTCGGTGCAATAGGTATTGCACTGAGGCAATGAACAGTCTGGCACCACTTTCTGTTGAAATTGCTTTCACAATGATACTGTACGAGGCAATAAATGTGATATTCTGCAGGTTCTTGGCCGCGACCGCAGTAAAGTGAACTAGAGGAGGGGTAGTGGGATCAGGCGCCAACGCGTGTCATGCATTGCTGTGAAGCGGCGAATGTGGAAAGGTCCCGGATGTACATGGTGGCGCTGCAGTCGTAGGGGCTGAAGGATCCGATCGATTCCAAGCGTTCCGAAGGCCTTCGGTGAGTAGGTTTGGGTTGCGGTTTGGCAGTGCGAAGTGGCTCTCGTTCCAAACTGATCTTTACCCAGTGTTACCCACGTCTTCTGTCGTTCATGGCCAATGAAGTGCTATGCCGAATCGACGTTGACAATGCTACTGCTTCGCTCCGGGGTGCCAGAGAGGCTATCAGAGGCAGAAAAGTGAGCAGCCGTTGCTGTTCTCAATATCTAACAAGGAAGAAAAAAGAACGAAACTTGCATCGCAAGGATAAGCTCCTGGATGAAACACGTTTGGTGTGTGAGCTTCATTAATGCAAGACTTCGTTCACATTATAAACAAAGAAGAGGTGCGCATTCCGCAAGGAAAGCCGGAGCTCTTGCCGAGTGCTGTGCCGACATTGCTTCCGAATGCTCTGAGCTATTTATCAAAGGAAGCGTCGCAGCCAAGGCCACCGAGGAAGCGAAAGGGTGCCGATGCTTCCTCAGGTGACGGTAAAAGGCCAGACACTGCCTCCCCAACTGCCTGCAGCAGCACCGTACCGGCTGCAGCCGATACCGGGGCGTTTGATTAAGCCTGTCTGCCCGAAGAATACTCCACGCTGTATGTTCCCTCCGAGTACTGGAGCTGTCACCGAGTTCCAAGCCTCAGTGGTCTCGTGTATTGTAAACTTAAAATGTGTGGCAATTAAGTTTTATCTGAGAGATTAGTGATTTTTTTCACGAGACAGCATGCCTAGTGTTGTATACACTGTTCATCTCTGTGGCCGCATGGCTGAAGGAGGACGCGTCGTCAGCTGCAAGGAAGCAAAGGCTTTTCTCAGAGACGTCGACTCCTATTGTCTCCGTGGAGGTGCCGTCCCGATGAGCAACATGCCAAGATCCTACCTTACAAAGGGCCTTGAGGGGCAAGTGGCCACCCGTGAGGGCCCACGCTTCAGCAGCCGCTGCACTGGAAAAGAAGCAACTAAAGGTATGTATCAGTGCCACTTGGGCAGAATTAGGAATGTCATGCCAACATCGTTTTTGTCCAATCTAACATAGTAAATTGCAATATCTTATGCATTGTTATTTAAGCTGAAAGCTGTGTTTGGTTTCAACTTTTAAATGTTTTCTTTTTTACTTCCCAGGACAAGGATGCATCTCCTGCCGATACCTGAGAAAGGCGCTTCTAACACAATGGTCAAGGATTCAGCGATCAGTCAAGACCGAAGACTGCTGTCTCGCTATGCTAACCTCCAAGCCCAGCTCAAGCAAATACAAGATGATAATGCCTCAGAACCTGACGAAGTACTACAGGCAGAGATTGCAACCTTGCCTCCCAAGCAGCAAGAAAGTGTTGGGCAGTGTTTTTTGGCAGCAAAGAAGAGAAACTCGAAGGGAAACACCTACTCAAGGGACTGGGTTCTGGAATGTATCCTGATGAAAATGAAAAGTGCCAAGCTCTATGAACATCTTCCCAAACACAACATCATTTCCCTACCAAGCAAAAGTATGTTGAAGCGCTACCTCAGACACTACAAAAGTGGGTATGGTTTCAATCACAAGGTGCTGAAACAACTAAAGCAGAAGACGAGGCACATCAGTAGCTTTAAAAGACGTGGTGGCCTTTTAGTGGATAAGATCAAACTTTCTGAGCACCTCAATGTAACACCTTCTGGACACATTAAAATCTGTCGACATGGAATCTTCTATGACTGAGGAACAGAATGTTGCCTGTGACCATTGCTTGACTATCATGTTCGTCCCATTCACTGGAAAATGGACTTAAATTATTAGTGTTTTTGCCACCAGTGGAAATGCCAAGGCAGAGGAGCTTGCAAAAATTCTAATAGAGGCTACAATCCTGGTTGAAGCAAGCGGACTCTGTTGATTTCCTCACTTCAGACAGTGCTTCATGGAACCGTCAAATGTGGAAAATCTTGGGAGTCGGCGTTAAGTCAGGGAAAGTTACCTGCAGACTTGAGTACCCTGTCGATTCATTCCGGCATCTACATTTCCTCTCAGATTTTCCTCCTTTACTCAAGTGCCCCCGGAATATGCTCCTCCAGTATCCACTGAACACCCCAGATGGAATGGTATGTGTTATAACTTCGTAACAAAACAAGAACTTAGCAATTTTGCTGTTTCAGATCTCGTGTTTCTGGCTATTCTGGTGTGAAGTCATTTTGTAAAAGGTATTTTTGAAAGCATTTATATACTCGTGCTTAAACACACATCTTTAAGTGAAAAAGGTAACGTCTTTAAGTGAAAAAGGTAATCTGTATGCAATGTGTTATGGCTACAGTTTCAGGTCTCCATGCGGCGTGTAAGGGAAGCATTAAAAAAAGACTCAAGCAATGTTACCCTGAAGGCAATGCCCGGTCTTACATCAGTGCACCTTCAGCCAAATGGATTTGAGAAAATGATGGTGTCCTTCGCCTCCAACTCTTCAGAGACCGTGTCATCAATGGACTCCAGTTCTTCCAGGGTGAGCTAGAGTCCTCGTGCAGCAGCTTTGATGCAACATTGTCCTTCTTTATGTAAGCAGAAACCTGCTAATCAGTTAGGTTGCTGCCCTTTGACCTATTGAACCAATCAGAAAAATAATAAAAACTCGTGCTAAGTACCTCGAGGGGCTACCTGAGGGAAACTTTGTTAAGTCTAGATCCTCTGTTTACATTTCTGTATAATGTTGTTATTTTTAGTGAGCAGTGCACGAAAATTTCAGTTGTCTATCGCAGCAATTTTAACTTGTATCAACAATGGGAAATGCTAGCACACTATATACGAGTCAATTTGCATTCTTTCAGAACCATCAACTGCCTGATCAAGATCATGACTTCCCCCTTCACAGCAAAAGCTCTACGTCCAGGGTCTAAGGAAGTGGAGTTCTTGAAGGAATTTCTTAAGTTTTTGTCTTCTTGGGAGTCCCATGCAAAAGGAGTGGCTGGATTTTTGAGTGACTCCACAGCAGATGGCCTTAGGGCCACAATATCCAGCACTTCAGCTCTTGGAAACCCTCACCGCACAAGGCTTCAGATACATCGTGACATCTACGTTGTCTCTTTTCATAGTTTACATTGGAGAGGAACTCAAGCAGGGAACACATGCACCGCGCGGCAGTTTCTATGGCAACTTGTGTGCACGCTGTGACGTGGCGGCTTGGCAAAGGTCCACATCGTAGCGTCCTCGGGTGTTGCCACGAGAATCGGTGCGTGGTGCCCATTTTTGCCACTCATGTGTTCCCTGCTTCAGAGTCACCACAGAGTGCAACAAGCCAGTTTGGTGGGTAATGAGGAAGTTGGGCGACCACAGGGGCAACGAACATGAACAGATTCCCACCCACTGTCTAACCTCATTTATTCGATTAAATGGCCACAGTCAAAAGCTTTACAATGCACTAAAATATTGCAGTAAAATGCCCGTTCGAAGAAATTTCGACTGAGCTACAGCCAGTTGCCGGTTTTTAGGGCTTACTCTATGTTGTAAACTTTCTAAGTGAGAATGCAGTCTTACGAGAAGGCTCTGGTCCCGCAAAAATTGCTTTGCCTTCAGTTACTGATGAGCTATAAAATAAGGCACACACCTGCCCGACATGAAATCAATCGCACACATTTTATTTAAACAACATCCAATAGAACACACCTGTTTCGCAATGTGCGCACTCTTCGACTAGGACATCTGACATAGCGCTGTGTCAAAGGTACAGTCTCAAATGAGGAGGCATGCACCACACACACAAGAAACTCTAGAACACACAAGTAACAAAATACAGGTCAATCTGAAAGATGACCTATTTTTTTTTTTTTTCAATGCAGTTTTATACATTATTCAATTTTATGAAACATCTTGGAAGCACCAACAGGCAAATCATTTCAGCCTCAAACATTAGGCTTGTTTCCTATTATAAAATGATATTCATGGCAAAGTTGGACAAACAAGCTATAATGTTGACATAAATGCAAACAGCATGAGTTTTTTCTTCTTTCACTAGCTGTTCTAAAGGAATAGGAATAAAGGCTATGCATTGATATTGTTTTTCTTGAGAAGTGCCTTGAGTAATTGTGTATATGCATGTGATCAGAGGGACAAGGAATTCAATGCCGTTTCCCTTCTTAACCACACCACACGCACAAGATGTAAGCACTGACGATCTGTTGTGACATAGATAAAAGGAGCAAAAATGTCAGACAACATTCTTTTGGTGATTAGCTAACATACGTAAGTTTGTTCACATTTGGCCTCCTTGACATTAGTTGAGCGATTGCTTGTTTCAATCAACGGCAGAGCATGGTGACCTCGCACATGAAATGTCTCAACTCAACGATGGGCATTTGTTACTTTCTGAAAAAAAATAAAAAAGCAAGTTAAGAGGAGTGGCAACCTTGTCTGCTGTACCAAACCTCAAAGATCCAGAAAGACACTACACAAGAATTATACAGCCCAAACCATTAGCTCTCTAGCACAAACTAGGCTTTGACACTAAGTTCACAATGCAATCACCCTGGTGAAAGGCTCACGGAAGACTATGTTTACAAGTGGGGACACTTTTATCAAAACCTTGTGAAATATCGCTGCCCAGTAGTGTTTAGTGCTGTGGGCTCTTGCTCTTGTGTAGACTCCAAATGCAACACTGGCTCGTGTTATTGTTCCTCGACTCCATACAAATTAATTGCATAAGAAATTTTGTCCATCCAACAGGCCACACACAAATAAAAAAGATTTGCAGCTTGGCTATCAATATAGTAGCTCGCACCAGGTCCCTGCAATGACTACATGCTACTTCAAAACAAAGCAACAAAATTAACAAAGCAAAACAAAATTAAATGCACCCCAAAAATTTCTAATTTGCCTGGTTTAACAGAACTGCCTGGTTAGAGACTACTCTGCCACGAGCAATTCCACTAAAAGCTGCCATATGACGACACAAAAAAAGTTAGTATGTCAACCTTTTATTGACAAAAACTATTCCTGGTCTTCTTTCTACGCACTTTTTATAAACCGTACATTTATAATATACTGCAATTGCCGAACGATGCTGAGAAAAAAATGTTGCACTTCCAGATTACGAAGGTCACAACCATACAACGCCATCCCATGGAAATCGCATTGTGGTGGATTCCCCTCCAGTGACCGAATTCTTCAACCCACACTGCCGTTGTCCAGCTCAGATAATTTGGAAGGAGGTGGTGTCGACGAAACAGGGGAGTTTGAAACAAAGTCAGAGGCTGAAGCCTGACGCATCATTCATTGTTGTCGAAATCCACTGGAGTCAAATGGCGTTGCGTGCTAAAGCAAGAACGAAAGAATATACCATCCGTACACAAAGATGGAGTTTGCTTGACTTTCCTCAAAGGGAAACAATGAAGTCGTCAACGATATACACTAACTGCAGATGCCCGTGTCGAAGCGACATGCCAATCGCGCTGTCAAAGCAGGAGTAAGGCAGGAATTCCCAGGTGAAGCTATAGAGCAATGCAAGAGTTTGTACTTCCTGAATCATTGCAAGCAAGCCTTTCGTTCCTGGGATTACAGAAAGAAGGGCAGGCAGTTAACATGCAGTGGTTCTTTCCATTCAATGCCTGCAATCTTCAGGACAGCAGCAAGCATATAATGCTGGCAGGGATGTGCAAACAATTCACAATTAGCAGGCACAAACTTTGAGGGCAAAGAGTGTAACCGTCTGCCACGAGCCAAACAGTTAGCATTTGCATCGCAGACATATATAAAAAAGATCAAGAGAAGTTGAAGCACTTGGCAGTAATGGAAAAACTCGGGAATCTGCATAAAACAATGTCCAAACATCTAACGCAACAAAAATAACCTTATATATGTAAATGTACTAAACATAAAATTTTTGTTGCATGCAAAAACTAGCAATGAAAAAAATGGTGCATTGATGCTCAATCGTTTCAAGCAAACTACCGGTACCCAATGCAACGTTTTGAGGCTTTCATAATCAGTCCACAGGTGCACTAAATGGTTGCATGCCAAGGAAGCTAAAACACAAAGTGGTCCTATTGAGTGACCAGTGATGCGATTGGCCCAAGTCATTTTAGAGCACGTTTTGGAGCAGCAAAACAAACTTTTGGAGCATAAGCACACATTTCATTTATACTGACGTAAATATCATGTTAAGGTTTATGTGTTTATGCCTACTTTGCCTTCCTGCTTCTGTGCAACCTTTTGATAGCAATAACAGCACAAAAGGTTTGATTCCCTAGCTATGTAGCAGTTTAATTGCACTTAGAAGCACAAGACACTGATTGACAAAGGGAAGTAAAAACTTCTGTGCATAGTTATTTCATGTATGAAATCAAACATAAACCAAATAGTGTATTATGCTGAAATGACGTTTAAATATAAAAATTTCAAGCACCCAAATCAATGTTTTCTTTAAGTTCTAAATGTTATTATAAAATAAGTTTTTAATTTAGATAGAAAACAAAGCTTATGTCATTTGATTATGAACATCAATGACATTTTATAAGCAGAACTTAATGATAACGAAAATCAGCAGGTAAATAAAAAATGTTTCTTAAAAAAAAAATTCTTCTGGGCATAAAGCCAGCAAAATATTTTTTTTTCATCAAAATTAAAAGTGGTCGCTGGACATGGTTGCTCGAACTTATCTGAAAACGCTCTACAAGGGTTTCCATTTTTAATTTGTGTTTCTTTTTCTATCATGATAGTAGATTGCATTCCCATTGTAAGCAAGATGGTTAGCCCACTTAGAAATGCAAGTATGGGTGAGACTTTCTACTTGGACCTTAGATCGTTGTAGTTTCTGAAGTACAGTAGCGGACAATGTGAAACAGCCCAGGTGAGTGCGTGTCTCTGAAGGCCTTCAGTGCTATCTAACGGAAGAAAGCAGAGCTATTACTGAAACTATTGTGCGCACAAGTGACATTTCAGCAGCTGTTTGATTTTTGTCGTTTCTCCCCGCTTGGTCGGCAAACGATTGCCGAGTCAACACCAATTTCGGTGTTGTTTTTGGATCAAGCTTGCGGCGTTCCAATACAAAAGACGACAGTGAGGGGTCGTAGAGCTGAGTGCAGTGTTTGCGCGTTGCATGATAAGGTTGTGGGATGAAAGCAATGAGCGGTTTTCAGTTTATTCTATTTACAGCACCATATTTACTCACAAATGAACACATGCAAAATGAGTGCACCCCCAACAACGGGTACCGATATTTTGACTTTTTTTTTCCCTCGTGTAATGAACGCACCTCTAATTTTCGGCACCGTGGGTCTCGTATTGCGTCCAACTTATGTTGAATTCCACTCGTAGATCCAGAGCGCTTTCCAAAATCTGCGAGGAAGGCAAAATTCCGCTCCGTGGGACCTGCTCTGAATCGACGAGGGAAAGATAAACTCGCATTTTTGGAGCGACCTCCCCCACACCGTTCCCCACCGCTTCCCTCTCCGCCGTTCAAAATGGCCGCTGCTCATACTTGACAAGCCCACCAACGTCTCAGCCGACTGATCTTTCTGACGACCAGTGACAACTGTCACTGCTTAACTGCAGAAATAATATGCGACACAGGCCGGGCGAAATTATACGTACCACAGCGCCCATGTCACAAATAGCGAAGACGTCCGCGTTCGGCACTGTCACATACCTTTCGGCCGCCTCGAAGCGGTGGGGCACGGACAGCGATTGCCAGCGGTTAAGTTCAGATTTCTGGTACGACTTCAATAAACACAGACGTAACAAACCGTCACTTGCACGGTTGTTGCCTGATCTCTTCTTGCTTTACTGCACGAAAAAACGTCGGCGGAATGCAGTGTAAAAAGGTAAACAATCATTGGCTGCAGAATGAACAGGCCTAACCTTGCCTAACCTCCGGCTTTTCTGTCATTCTTTTTCTCGTTCTTCCTCTCACGATCACAGATGTCAGCGCTTACAATTTACCATGCTCCACGGTCCCGGCTTTGTATCCCAGATCTACGCGAGGTAGAAGCGTTCCAAGCCGTCACAATCCCACGTAAAGAACCGACGCACCCGAATAGATCCAACTCGACGACCTGACCGTGGCCCGAACGGCCCGCCGACCTCGCCAACGTCGCCGCCTATGCGCACTGCTGATTTAGAAGGAAATGATGTGGGGCGTTCTAACAACTTCCGGAAAGATCTTTCAAATCCCGCAGAGCAAGTTCGGCGGGGTTTGAGGCGCTCCGTGGAGCGGGCGCTGCCAGAGATCTATGAGCGGAAGATGACCAACTCGAGCCAGATCTGCGAGCGAAATATGCGCGCTCCAAATGGAGCGCTTTTGGAGCGCTCGAGATCTACGAGCAAAATTCACCATTAATTATACTAAACCCACCAAGCCAATTTTCTTTTGCCACCAAGCGGACAGGCCAAGCCAAGCCAAGCCACTCTCGTAATGGCTGCAAGTGTGTAGTCGCAGAAGTGATTGATTAACCGTGAAACCGAGCGGCGCGCACACTTAACGAAGCTTGGGTCAAGGAATTGCCCAGCCCTGGACATTCTTTGCCTATTGGATGCACTGATGTCAACAAACACGCCGTCGTCTGTGGTCCGCTTTCGGACAGTGAAATCGTGAAAGTGGTTAGGCCTGAGAACGGTCGCACTGCTCTCCGTGCAGAGTGAGCTTTGTAGGGTACTTTTCCTTCAACAAAAGGCACGCCAAAAGCGCCCTCAAAAGGTTTATAATTTAGAAAGCGTGGTCACTGTGGCGCGCCCCCGACCAGCCGTCGGTGTGCCTCCATCAGTGGAGACGTGCCACAGTACCTCGCCGTGTCATGTTGGCACCTAATATGACATTTCCACGAAGTGTGTAAACGAAAAACTTTCACCCCTCGTATTGAACATAACTTTTTCGGGAAAAAAAGTGTGTTCATTATGTGAAGTACCGAAGTACCGAAGTCAACGGGACGGGAAAAAAATTCCATAGAAGCCGTAATTCGATAAAAGCGATAGAGCCAAAAAACAGTGCCAGCAGGCTAGAAGGTGGACGAGAACAATGCGGAACACTCTGACCATATATTTAATCAAAACATCCTGCGGCAGCTTTACTGAGTAAAAAAATAATTAAGTGGAGTTTGCTGATAATTTTATCCGGGCATCAGTTTTCCTCGAGCTGCTCCAGGCATCGCAAGAACACTGTCACCGCCACTGCACTCCACTGTTTCGAAGCAGCCGTAGGACGTTTAGAGTCTCCGCAGTCGTCGGCGTTTCTTGAGGTGCCTCTCCGACGTTGCTTTGTATTTACCCTGGCCGCATGCAAGGTCTACGATCGCAGCATCTGTGTCAGGAGCAACAACAGGAACGCCCACATCGACAAGCGCGAACGAATAAAAGTTATCCTCGGTCGCTTTGCCAACATGCTTTCACACACTCCTGTAGAGATCGTTACAGCTATCGAAATCGTGCGCCGTCTCGGCAAGCATGCTCACGAGAGAAAATTCGACGCGCGCGAAGCAATTGGCGATCTTTCATCTTCGGGTCGCGGGTGCGCTTTCTCCTGTATCAGAAACCTCTTGAACCCGTTCAATATGCCTTGCTTGTTCTGAAAAATGGAGGACAGTGTTGCACACCTGATGCCCGAATGTAGAATTCTTTGGCGATTTTGGACTTGGGCCGGCCATTTTTCTCAACCTCAAGTGACTTTCGGTAAACACCCCCAATCTCCCATACGACGCATGTGTGCATCTTGTACGCCACAGGCGCGCGCGTCGAGGGCTCCCGAAGGCATGGTCTCTTCCGTGCCGCATCGCTCCCTTAACCTGATTCCGACAGGAGTTGGACAGCGTTGGTAGCAAGTGCCGTAAGTTGCGTCAGAACAAATTGACGCTGCTCCCTGCCCACGTCCCCGCATCAGCATCGGAAGCGACGCTCTGCCAGCTCTGTGCACTCTGCCCTCCGTTACTCATTTACTCCACTTTGCCGTTTGCCTCGGTGAAGAAGGGGGAGGGAACGCAAGGGTGTACTGTGCGCCTCCATGTAGGGTTATGTGCTTTCGGTGCCGCGGCCTTTGTGATAAGTGTGGTCGGCCGCCGATACACTTCGAATAATCTGGTTAAAAATGTGTGCATTTTGGTCGGGACCACGTTGAATTTCGATAAAAGCGGTAATTCGAATAAAGTGATTTCTTTATAACAAGGGATTACTGTAGCTGAACCGAAAAGGGAAATGCAGACTTCCAACAAATAGAAGTGTTTGGCAAAAGAAAATAAAACAGACTTATCGTCCTTTTTCCCGCAAACTTATAGACCAACACGTGGCCCTGACGTCACGCAGCTGCGGTGGCGCTGTTGACGGCACTGCGCATGTGCAGACGCCTCACTTCACGTGAATTCGGTTTCTGCGCACGCGCAGTGCCCACACCTGGTGTAGGCAAACGCGGGCTTGTTTGTAAACAGCGTGTCGGTCTATAAAACGCCCAAAAAGTGATAGCTCAACTTATAAACCCGGTGGTTTCGGCCGCGCTTGATTTTGCCTTTTGTTGAGGAACCTCTAAATGAGTGCTGAAATCTGCATTAACTCAGCAACACCTGGTCAAGTGGGAAGTGACGACAGAAATAGACCCTTTGCAAAACTCCCCAAAGCGTGCACACACCGAATAATGGGAGTCCTCAGTACGTCCCTCCCATCACCTTTCCTGCCGCTATCCACATCGCATATGCGAGCAGGTGCAGGTTACCAAGGCAACAAAGCTCGAGTAGTTGAGAGCCGAGTCGTATGAGCAGCGAGTGCACAGAAATGGAAGAGCGTATTGCGCAGGCTATCTTGCAAGGCTGGCCATTTCTTATCCCTCTCCTTTGTACTGGCTCCGCCGTCTGCTGCACCAACGCATTGTCAAACCTAGTCGAACCGTGCCACGGTTGCGATGCAAAATAAGTGTATTCGATGACACTGCAAGACGTGAAGGTCAGTTACGACGAATAATGCATTAAAATAAGCTTCACCTGTCGCAATGAGTTTACGCTGCCAGATATGGTACGCCGCCAACAATGCACGACGTTCTGACAAATGATGGATGACTGCGATAGCTGCTGGCAGTAGCTGCCGCGATTCGTGCGCAGTTGCAGAGGCGCAAGGGGAAAGCACGTGATCTGTACCGAGGGTTCCCACAACTCCCTGCCGTTGTGGCGCCATACGTCTTGCAACAAGTCTATTGAACAGCCGCTGAAGCCGTGATAATGGTCTAGCTCTTTTCTAACGGTTGTGCTTCAGACCTTTTAAGCCACACGCTCGCCTGGGCTTTTTCACATCATCCGCAACTGTACTTGGTAGCCGAGAGTTAGGTAACCCAAACCAAATGACCATTGCAAACTGTGAGAACTCCTGCATCTAGCTTTCTTTTACTGGCAACAGATCCAAAGAACAAGAAATGTCAGAGCAAACAAGACCGCACTTAGAGCCTACCTGCTTGACCATTAGGTTTGCAACGTTGGGATCCAGAGAAGGAAAATCAGGAGGCACTTCAGTGGCATATGGCGAGCGAGCACAGCCGAGAAGGAAATCTCGAGAATAGTTCTTTTTGGCAGGAGACGACGATGGCGGGTCAGCAGCCGTCACAGAAGCAGCAGCAGGCACTTCCGTATGGTCAACCTGAAGAGAAGATGCCAAATAACGGTGTCACTGAGAAAATGTTGCAGGCCACTTAGCAAGTCGAGTCCCACCTTGGGAGCCATGTCCGGCATGTAGCTGGGAACCTTAGACTGCCTGGATACTGGAGGAGGCTCTGCAACAGATTCTTTGAAACAACACATGCACACAGATGCTCAGGATGCAACCATCGCAACTTCTTACTAAAAAAAAAACAAAAAAACTGCAAGAGCAAACCATTTCATTCTTTTTTTTACAGAATAGTTCACTCTTTGGAGGCTGTCATTAGCTACAATAGTATTGTGTTTTTGGACAAATAAAAAAATACTTTAAAATGCAAGAAAACAAAAGTTCCAACATTTCGAATTTATCTGACAAATGCCTCATTTCGACACGCTTTCTCGGCTCTGTTATCTACCTTTGCACTGCAATCTGATGTGCATTACATGACAAAGTCTGGGGACTGCTTTGGATGATAAGCATGCACTCGATGCGGGTCCATTAAATGGGCTATCGCGTCTTGCTTCACCGCAAGAAGCAATGGCCTCTTAATTGCCAATTTAAGATGCCAAGTAATCGCTACTAGTACCTGCAGCTTCTACCTCCCTCCAAATAAAAAAATGGCAACTTGCGATGGAACCAATAATCATGGAAAATAAATCCTCTCGCAGAAGTCCACCCCCCCTCCACCCCCCCTCCACCCCCCATGAAACGGAAGCTGGCACTGGGAAACCAGGCAGTCCTGGTCCCTCGTGTATTTGGTGTTCTTGGAATGCCATTATGAATTTCTTGCCCAGCGTCCAATGCTGCAGGTGGCTACTGGCTGCATAAAGTTTTAATTTTTACTATTAAGCAACTTTAAATGCTTGCAGCCCCAATGTTTGGGGCTGCTCTTTTATTTCACTACCGATGAACTCGATTGAATCAATCATACATGGCCAACAGATAACCCTGGTCTCATTCATTTCTCTAAGGAGGTTCTGTCAATGGCATATGTCGACACATGTGACCTTTTTCTGGGATTTAATTTTTCATTACACTGATCATGTGCCATGAGTACACACGCTAAATACCAGAAGGCTACAAATTTGGGAAAACATTAAACTCTGCCTGTTCCCATAAAACAAAGCACACACAATTAGGATGGGATTTCTAAAAAATGAAAGAACTAGAAGCAAAAAAAAAATGCTTACTCATCTGTGCTGGAAGTCTTTTTGCAATGCTGGTGGACTTCACAACATGCTTCGGGGAAGGTGCCACACCCTTGTCCTAACGTGAAAAGGACGAACTATTTAATTTGTTCATTTATCCATGAACATTTCAGCCTGCTAGACTTTAAAAAGCCACAGCCACTAACACAATGAAAATGAACTGCCCAAAGGAGGGTAACCTTTCAGATAAGCACCTCATAGGGTGTCATTTTACCTTTAAATATTTAGGTGTGTAGAATCTGAACTCTGAACAAAATGCCATAGCAAAACACTGAGCATGTGCTAACTATTGTGCATGAGTCACATTTTCCTCTGCCTAAATACCGAAACTGCAAGAATAGAGTACGGTATAGATAAAACTCAAACCAGCACCCGCCTCTATGTTTGTTGCAATCTCCTGCCAATTTTGGGTGTTTTACTGCATTTCTTTGCAATACATACAACATAAAAATCATCCAATGAGAAAGTATTAAATACATGTTCTTTCATTTTAAGTTTATTTTGCATAATGGACATCATCGCAAGCCACTGCAGTGAAGGGCAACATTAGCTGAGAAAACTATGTAGCACAACTTGTTAAGCCTACATAGAATAATACCATGCAGCAAAACATAAAGATATGTCAGAAGTGAAGCAGGCAATGGATAAGTAGTAGTCGCCGACCAATTTTTTGGATGCCTATAATTCAGACCTAAAGGAGGAACTGTGACCTACTCAATAAAAATAGTGCATATTCACGACCAATGTTTCGGGCAGCTTGAAATATGAAAGTTAATTTTTCGGACAAAATCGGCACGAGCGATCAGCGGGAAACACCACCGAAAAGCGGCCATTTTGGATTCTATGTTGGCTGCACAAGTCCTACAGCTAAATGACGCTGTATATCTTTTTTTCTTTTTTCCCTCCAGCTGCGAGTCATTATCATCATTGTCGTTCCCATTTTGCTTCGTTCATTCGCCATTGCAGTCATGGACTTGCGCCTCTCATCTTGATCTCATCTCAGTGAATTGTGTTTTCGGACTATGCTGGCTTGGACGTCATTGCCCCATTTGTTCTTCCACCGCTGTGATGTGTCGATAAGAAGCGCAGAAAGTACTCGACCATAATGCTAGAAGGCAGCGATTCTCAAGCTAACAGAAAGTTGCCAAACGGAAACGGAGGTGTAACCTGAAGCAAGGCACTATTTACGACTTTTTTAAAGGGGCCCTCCGGAGCTTTCTGCGATCGTCTGTTTATGTTGTTATATTGCGTAGTAGGTGCAAGGTTAATATGTATACAAAGTTTTAGATTACAAAACCGGATTACAAATCGGGACTATTTTCTCTTGGAAGACAATCCCCCATTCCCTGCCCATCGCTAAAACTTAACCAAAGGAGATGCTGCATCTCGCGGTGAATGCGAACATTATTATTGCAACACTTTTTAAGCTTGTTGTAAATTAGAGTTTGAGAAAAACGTAAACTGATTGTGGTGCGGGAAACATAGTCCGCAATTATCGCTCCAAAACCAGCGAACTATGTTTTCTCCCCGCAAGCTTGTTGCTAGGGGGTGATGCGTCGGCGCGTCGGCTCGTCTGCTTCCTGGGGCGTCTGCAGGCGTGCGTTTGCGGGACACATGTTCCTTCTTCCCGTGGATCCCGACTCCGAAGCCAGCTTTGCGATCCTTCCACGTCAACGAGTCAAACTTTTCCTTGTCATCTGTGGGATGCGACTGCGTATTGCAGTAGCAGCGCGATGGTGCGGTGCGACGAACGACGACTACCGAGCACAAAGTCCGGGTTCCTTGACGACAATCCGCGCGTGTTCGAGAGATTCCTCTGCGGGCCGGCAGTTGGCCGCGTTGGTGACGCGCAATGACGCCGGAATTCTTCGCTTGCTATTGGCTGACGCAAAAAGAGATGCCCCTCCCGTTTTCCGGGGTCATCTCAGAAAGGAGGGCGTGCCGGGGACTTCGATAGCAATTTTAGTAGGGAAATCCGCCGCGCATGACCGTAATTTTACGATTTTTAGGATCCTTAGGGCCTGTAGATTGAGTTACCGCCATAAATAGACCATCGCAGAACGCTCCGGAGGGCTCCTTTAAGCCCGATTAGATGTAATAAAGGCAAGTTTTTTAATCTGCTGATTTTTCGAACGTTTTTTCGGTCCCTGAGAAGTCCAAAAAAATCGGTCAGCGACTGTATATGCAAACAAAAATTTAACCCCCTTTTAACCAATGAATAAGAAATGCTCACAGATTCATGGAGCCATCCCAGCCAAAGGTCTGCATTTATTTTTTATTTGCTCGACAAAAATGTTAGGCAATTTATAAAGTAATTTATAAAGGCAAAGTAAGTACAGTCGCTGACCAAATTTTCACAAGTCGATAATTCAAACTTTTTCAATATTTCAGACCTAAAGGAGGAACCGCGACCTACCAGATAGAAATAGTGCATATTCACGACCAATGTTTCGGACAGCTTCAAGTCCGAAAGTTAGATTTTTCAGACAAAAATCGCTGTGAGCGATTAGCGGGAAACACCACCTAGGAGCCGCCATTTTAGATTCTATGTTGGCTGCACATGGATTTGAGGCTTGTTGTTGTTTTGTCCGTTTTTTATTTTTCCGTGTCTCCGGTTTACAATGGAAGAACATGGATTGGCTTGGTTTGGCAGCACTACTTGAGTATTGCTAGGTGACGCTATACTACGTCATTATCATCATCATTGTTACCATTTTGCTTTGTTAACTCGCCATTCTGCAGTCATGGACTTGCGCCTCTCATCTCGTATCGGTGTATAGCGTTTTCGGACTGCGCAGGCTTGAACGTCATGGCTCTATCTGTTCTTCCGCCGCCGCGAAGTGTCACTAAGAAGCACGGAAAGTATTCAACCATAATGCTAGCAAAGAAGGCAGCGATTCTTAAGCTAATGCTGGAAAGTGGCCGAACGCAAGCGGAGGTGTAACTTGAAGCAAGGCACTATTGGCAGCTTCTTTAAGCCCGCTTACACATAATAAAGGCAAGTTTTTTTGTCTGCTGATTTTTCAGACTGCCCTATTATTCTGACATTTTTCCAGTCTCTCTAAAGTTCGAAAAATCGGTCGGCGACTGTATTTGCATTGTATGAAACTTTTATTGCATTGGGAAGGCCACTCCAATCCTTCATCATACACCTGACATAAAAATATTAAATCTAGTCAACTCCGGCCAGGCACAATTACAATGCATTAAGATGATGCAACCTGGAATCCTTTGATGATCTAAACTCCTGCAATTACCAAACCATTAAGATCAGTAAGAGTAGATCAGAGCACAGTACTTCATGCCGGTGCTTCCTATTCTCTGTTTCACCTTACTTTAGTCGCACAAGAAGTATGGAGTGCCTAATTGACTGGGATGGCTCCTAGTGTCCGCTGCGGCCCTACGCAAGGTGAAACGGACTCTAGCAGGCAGCCAGAACACTAAACACGCACTGTTTGACCACACAGGGTGAAAAAAAACTACACAGGATAACGGGTTTGGCGGGCCCCTTTTGCAAGATGGGAATTGAGAAGGAATAGAATGCCTTTACTGCTTCGAAAAAGTTTTGAACAAAAAGCTGCCCTAAGTAGGAACATGCACGAGAAATCAAGACGTGGACCAATATTCGTACAGAACCCTGGAATCTAGGAATAGAAGCAAAAGCTTGCCGATGAATCCAGATCACCACTGTCATCCTTGAATGTCTCTTCATCGCTGGAACTACTGGCTTGACTACTGGCAGGACCACTGCGCCTCCTCGAAGCTCTAATAAACAGAAAGCAATTGAGCGGCTAAATCCTCGCAAGACACAGGAGTCGTAGCATAGCAGGATAAAGCACGAACTGAAGCATACATTGTTACAAGTGTGGGAAGAAAAGAACATACGTCTGAACCTGCTCACGGTCTGCATCACGCTACTTCTTTTTCTTTTATTAGCATTGTTCTCTGCCACTATGCTTTCTGGTGCGTTGGTGGCGCTAACAGACTCTTAACGTTCCGGTGCGTTGGTGGCGCTAACAGACTCTTAACATTCCTCCCCCCCTTTAAAGTGTTTGCTCATTGCTGATGGGGAGTAACGCTGAACGGGCCGTCTGTCTCTTGCACTACGTCTTGAAGCAATGGGACTCGGTTCAACCATGGCGGGTGTGTCGACCATGGTTGGATTCCCTGGAGGGTAGGTTTCCTCTGCTGATGTAGACTGCTCCTCGGGTGGAGCCTGGCTCTGTGAAGTCGGCTCCGTCGGCTGGAGCACAGAAAACTCTTCCTGAGGATGGGTCTCTGGCTGCGGTGGCTGTTGCATGGTGTTTGGTCGAAGATGGTCACCATGCCGATGCCAAGATGTTCCATCTGGAAGTTTGAGCCAAACAGAAGAGGCACTCACTGGTCCAACAACGGGCACCCAAGGTGGTCTGGGTCTAAAATTTCTAGCGTATACTGTTGTCCCGGTAGCCATCAGAAATACCCGACGGCAACCTTGGTCGGTATGTATTTTCTGCTTGAGTTGCTTCAACTGAAGGGCGGTTTTCAGGCTTGGATGCATTAAGTCCAAAGGCGTCTTTATCTTCCTGCCCATAAGCAACTCACAGGGCGCGCGGCCTGTGAAGTCGTGCGGCGTCGTTCTGTAATGGAAAAGTACTGTGGCCACCTGGGTCTGGAAGTCGCCTGGTGCGCTTGTCTTCAGCTTGTCTTTGATTGTTTGTACTCACTCGCTCTGCTGCTCCATTGGAGGCAGGGTGGTACGGCGCAACGAAAGCTCAATTGCTCTTCTTCCTTTCCCCACGACCATTTCTTCCCTGCCATCAGTAGAAGATGCAATGGTTGTAACGTAGACGAAATGTTTGGCAAGAAACGTCGGTAAAAGTTGAGCAGTCCAAGTAGCTTTGAAGCTCTTTCATGTTGCAAGGAGCAGGAGGGTTGACGGTCACGTCCACCTTGTTTGGGCTTGGAGTGAGTCCCTGCTTGCTAATGACATGGCCAAGGTACTCTACTTCAGGCTTGAAAAATTGGCATTTCTCCAACTTCACCTTAAGGCCAAAATCTTGAAGCCTCTGAAGAACGGACTTGAGGTTCTTCACGTGGTCTTGATCGTCAACTCTCGTGACAATGATGTTGTCGAAGTAGACCGCTACGCTTGGTAGGCCACGAAAAAGATTTTCCATTTCTCGTTGGAATATTGCTGGAGCAGAAGAAACTCCAAACGGAAGTCTTGTATACTGGAAAAGACCCATGTGGGTGTTGGTGGTCACGAACTTGCGACACTCTTCAACCAGGGGCACTTGCTGGTACGCATCTCGCATATCCAGCTTTGTGAACTTGGTTCCCCCTGACAAAACAGCCCACAAATTTTTAACAAGTGGAACTGGAAAGGTTTCTAGAAGAGACACAGGATTGACTGTTACTGTGAGGTCCCCACATATCTGCACTCGACCATCCTTCTTTTGAACAGGAATGATGGGAGCTGCCCAGTCAGATGTCTTCACTGGCTCAATGACACCCTCACGTTGTAGTCTCTGGAGCTCTTAGGTGACTATCACGTAATGTAAATGGCAGTGGACGGGGCTTGCAGAATTTGGGCGGAGCCTCTGGAGTCACAGGGATTTTTGCAGAAATCCCCTTGAAGGTACCCAAACCTTCTTCGAAAACCATAGAATACTGGCCTATGAGGTCCGCAACATTAGAAAGGTTGTTCACTAGCTCAAGTCCTTTGTGGCGCAGGCCCAAAGCTTGAAACCAGTTGCGACCAAGCAACGTAGGTGAAGTACCAGAGGTGATTACAGCGGAAAAACTTCACTGTGACCTCTGTAACTGACGTTGACATTTGCCTTGCCTTTGACTTGCTCAAGGCCTCCAGAAAATCCTCGCAGAAGGACGCTCGAAGAATCCAACTTGACACTGGGGAATTCTGCTTGAAACTTCTCTGCAGACATCACCGAAATGCTCGCTCTGGTGTCTAGTTCCATGGAAATTGGTTTGCCGAAGAGTTCAACAGTGACCAGAAAAGGTGGTAGTCGATGCTGTACCCAGGTGCCACATGTCGTAGGCGTCGGTTTCCACAACCTGACAAAGATCTTGCGGGGACAAGTCGCCATGAAGTGTGTTCACCCGAGCAGATGGAGTTGACCTTGACTGACCCCCGACGAGCTCTACAGGAAACTTTCGAAATCAAATTTGGAGGTTTTACGTGCCAAACCAACAACGGGCATCTGGCACGCCCCCGCGGAGGACTGAGGATTTATTTGGACTACCTGGGGATCTTTTGACGTGCAACCGAAAGCTCGATTACATGGCGCCTTCTCCGCAATAAGCCTCCGTCAGATTGCGGGCACCTCGGCCGGGATTCGAACCCGCCACATGGGGATCCGTAGGCCAGCGCTCTCGCCTCGGAGCCACCGAGGCGGCTTACCAGAAACCTTCGAATTGGGCGCGTTCCCACTCTTCTTCGAGTTGCACACAACAGAAAGGTGCCCTCGCTTCTGACAGTAGTGACACATAGAATGAATGTGTCGGCACTGAGATGCCAGGTGGCTTTTGTATCCGCAGCGATAACACAATGTGTCTTTCGCCGCGTGCATTATCTTGTGCGTGGAAAGAATGCTTGTACTAGCTTGAGCTTGACAGAGCTCACCAGCATCTTTCTTTGCAGATTCCATGGCGCATGCAGTTTGAACAGCAACCTCGAAGGTGAGGTCCGGAATTTCAAGAAGTTGAGTCTGAATCACGGCGTCGATTATGCCGCAAATTATTCAGTCTCGTGGCATTTTCTCCAGCTCAGCACCGTAGTCACAGAGCTCCGATAAGCTCTCCAGTGCTGCAATGAAGTCACCGACAGATTCAGTTTCGGAACTAACCCTTGAATTAAAGCGGAAGCGCTGAACCACGGAGGACGGCGTAAGGGCATAATGCTTGCCGAGAATGGCCAGGATTTCGCTGAGGGTCTTGTCTTGGGGTGCCTGCGGCTTCACCAGGTTCCGAAGCAAAGAGTAAGTCCTCGGGCCGCAGCAGTTCAGGAAAATGAATCTCGTCTTTGCAGCAGGAACATTGTTGGCCAAGAAGAATTCGTGAAGTCGTTCCACGTATGCAGGCCATTCGTCGCCTCCCCCCTCGAACGGTTCGATCCTGCCGAACGTCAGCATGGTACCTTTTCGTACCTTTTCGCCATTTTGTTACGAGTGTGGGAAGAAAAGAACACACGTATGAACCTGCCGACGGTCTGCATCACACTACCACAGAATACCGTGCATCCGCCCATACCACACTAAGCGCCCATACCCGAATTTGTAAGATCTGAGAATATATGCACAGTACATTGATATGTAAAATTGATGACCGGACAAGCACCCATCCCCCATTTTTTCGCGATTATCTTTAAATTTTGAGTGGGCGTTTGCCTGGTATTTTACGGTACTTCTTTTTCTTTTATTAGCATTGTTCTCTGCCACTATGCTTTCTGGTGTCTTGGTGGAGCTAACAGACTCTTAACATTCCGGTGCATTAGTGGCGCTAACAGATCTCTTAACATACATTACAGTGGAGAACAATCATGCTTTAATAATGTCCAAAGGGACTATATTAACAGAAGCAGAATGCTCGGCTACTTCGCTTCACTTTCAAACAATGGTGATGGTAAATTTCAGCAACTCACAACCCATGCCAGGACGTAGCACTGCCCAAGTCAGACACACTTCGGCTGTTGGAAAGGAACCCCGGCTCAGGAGACACGCAGGAGCTCCGGTTCGGTGGCGACAGAATATCCACCGTGACCTGAAGGGAGGCCAACAATAAGTCACTCTAGGGAAGCCCTTTGAAAGTTTGTGTACATCTGCTGTCAACCAACTGTCCACTGTTGCCAGCCTAAAAAGCACACCTCTTGTAGTTTGACAAGCATGGCTGGCCATGCTTCCGTATATACTCACACTTTTATGGAATACACCCACTTCAATAAGCACTATTTAGTTCAAAAGAGAGCTATGCACACAAAAAAAAACTGGCAAAAGTGTTGGCCGCCATCACAGTGTAGAATTCATCTTTTAGAGCTTGGGCTTATTTATCCCAAGTATGTTATTCTCAGGGTCTTTAGCATAATGTTGTGCCAACATTTTACTATACAAGTTTAAAAACCACATTCTGGCATGACCACGCACTAGTGGCTGTCATAAGAACTAAGGCGTCTACCAACAAATATTAATTTGTTCCAATAAAAATAAAAACTCGTAGCCTCTTAATACACTAATTATCAAAGTGGTGCTGAATTCCTACCCACTTCAACCCTCCTGCTGTTGTAAATGGAGCTTTGGTTTAGGTTTGCAACACGAGAGCAAAGGCGAGTGAGGACTTTAGCCTACGAAAAAAAGCAGAAATGGCAGTCCTCAACTTTCTAATGTGCAACAGACATTTTATTACGCTCTCGTAGCTACATTCAACAATTCACACTAGGAAACTATGTTTTTCAAAGCTGAAATTACCAACAATGTTCATCCAGCTAGCATTTTCAAAAAAATCTATGAGAGTCGCCTGCTTTGACGTTGACACGAACATATCGGTTCCGAGTTATCTAAACAAACACAACATGGTACACCATGGAGGACAGTAAACAAGAACTCCGATAAATTTAGCAATTAAAAACAAAAAGATGCTTCTTCGGCCAGTTTTGACGTAACATTTGAGCTTGGGAGCAGGATGGCACAGCGGAAGTGGATTGGCGCCCAGAATGGCGCAGCTCTTCCACCCTTGGGCAAAGCCAAAAACAAAGGCACGAGCTGAAGATAAACAGGACCACCAAAAAATCTGACCTCACTTCTGACAACATAAAACATGACAGCACTTGTTAAACAAGCTTAGTACATCATTCATTCAATAAACAAGCTTGATACATCACAAGCGCTACTAGAAAGCAACGAGATTGTTTGATGTACCTTGTTTGCATAGTCACATTGCCCGCCGAAGTACTTTTCCAAGACTAGTTTAGCAGTCTGAAAAGGGGAAACAAAGCAAAGAACCAACTAAGCACTTCCAATCCATTCAGAAACAAAGAGACCAGAAATGAGAAGTACAAGTACCTCGACTAGGATTTCCTTGTGACCGTTGATATGAATTGTGTCCCTCCCGACGCTCACATCCCTCGTGTATTCCCTCATACTGGCGTCGCCCATACTATAGCTGTGCACAAGGGAGGGCTTCGGGCCAGAGCTGGTCTGATTTTCCTTTGCAACCACCATCCCATAGTTTGGAGAGCCCTCGTCACACACATCCTGCCAATGGAAATGTAACATGCTCTCAGCCTATGTCAGAGCAACACCTGTGAATGCGAGTCGACTAACCCTGATGGGAGAGGCATTTCTGCGGATGGTATTTTCAATCAGATCTTTGGCCCTCCTAAAAGAAGACGGGTTGGGTGAAAAGCATAGATTGCACAAGATGTACTTTTGAACAACTGGAATGCACATTACTGTCCCATCACTACACTCTTTCCAGATGCATGAAAGAGGCAGGAAATGTTAAAAGAACTGAAAACTCACAAAATATTGTTTTCATTGGCTCCAGTGATTTGCACAAGCCTGTCCCTCACACCAGGACTGACTGGAAGTTAGAAATGGCAAGTCAGATGCACAATGCACAAAGTGCCATCTGGAAACATTTTCTCAAGGTGCGGTCTACAACCTATGCAAGCCATCAACATGACACCAAAGCGCAAAAACCAATATAAATACAAATAATAAACTTCAACTGCAGTCGACATTCAATGCAAGAATAAAGCATTGCAAAATTAAAAACAAAACTGCTAGCAAATTTAGGATTAAGACCATGCAACACCAGCGGGCAACACAAACGTTACAGAGCTTTCCTGAGCAAAATCACTGTAATCCCCAAATTTGATGTACGGGACCCTCGCAAGAAAAGGAACCCCAATTATACTGGTTGCAGCAACTAACCAGACCAAATATAGTTTTTTTTTTTTTTTTTTTTATGGTGTCGTATCACCTTTGTTTTGCAATTGTTCCATACACTATAGAACTTAGAGTTTGCAATTAGGCCATTCAAGCAAACCAGTGTGTTATTAGCTTTCAGTAAACATTAAAATGAAAAAAAGTTGACAAACCTGCAACAATCTGCTACACATACTCGGACAATAGATCACTGTCCACGCTTCAAACAATCATGTGTAGTTTTGAGAAGCGGCGTGGCGTGACAAAAGCAAGTAAATTTACCTCAGTATGACTACTGTTTCCCTTTCCTCGGAATTGCATCAAATTGTCAAAAGCAGGGACTCAAACCGAAAAATATAATGTTTCGGTTACAGTTACGGTTACCGTTTCCTGTTGATACCGGTTTCGTTTCGGTTTTTTACGGTTTTAATATTTACGGTTTCGGTTAGCGGTTACACGCTCCTCAAAACCGGTTTTTTCTCGGTTTCTCCAATAGTCTGTTTTATTAAAATGCTAGACACGTGTTTTACAATAAACGGTTTCAAGTAATCCCAGTATTCCAACAACGGGGTATTCACAGTACCAAAAATTCAAAAACGACTTCTGGTACTTCGAATTGGTCAAAAGTTGCACGTGTTTCTAGCTCCAACACTTGTTCGTTAAATCTATTCGCATTATATAATTTGGTACCCAAGCATACATTTCCCGCTCCTTGAGACGTCGTCCTGTCTGTTTTCTGTCCCTTCTACGTTTTGAAGTTTCTTCTCTACCCCAGTGTCAGGTTAATTCAACATGGTTACAGTTACTGGTTCGACGAACCTTCAAACAGGTTAGACTTCGTGGACAGTGCGGTTAGATTTTGATACAAGCATGTCTAGGTTTGGAAAAAAATGTTTTTACGGAATAAGTTGTTTTCGTTTAGAAGCAGTTACAATCAACAGAACATGATTCTGAAATCTTAAAAACTTAATAACAAAATGGCGCAGCCAGCCTCTGCTGCGTCGCGCGATGACAGCGCAGATGTTGGTTGCACATCTCTCCACGGGGCGCGGTGCCGCCGGGGCTGAGATGCGCTCTGATAGCAAACCAAAAATTAAAAATCCGTCGATTTTGCGCGGTTTTTCAGAAAGCCGTAAAATGCTTCGCGTGCCTTCTATCGTTCTGCAACTTGTTGATTTAGTGGTTTTCGATGATGCTGAGCAATTTTCTAATTTAAACCATGCCCTTAAACACAATATTAAAAAAAGTTATTTAAGCAAAAAAAATTAAAAACCTAATTATCCCGGACTTTAATAATTTTCCTAAATGGGCCCCTGGCCCAGGACCAAAACGCCACAAGCCTCTTTTCGTTGCGATGAGTAGTTCTCGCAGGAGCGATTTGGCCTGCGTTTTCTGAAACACCCTGTATATATATATTGGTGAAGTTTGGTAAATATAAAAACAATGGACCGGGAAAAGTTAATAAGTCAAAGATGCGTACTGTCGGAGTTACTAATTCGAAGTATATTACGACGTTTCGAGCGGGGACCGCTCTTCATCAGGACGAGCGGTCCCCGCTCGAAACGTCGTAATAAACTTCGAATTAGTAACTCCGACAGTACGCATCTTTGACTTTGTGTGTGTGTATATATATATATATATATATATATATATATATATATATATATATATATATATATATATATATATACATACATACATATTTCTCAGTGTATTTATACGAAACGTCAATGCAAGACCTTCGACATTTTTTTTTCCTTCTGTGTGGTTCCAAAATTGACGATCGCGACACGTTTCAGACGACATAAATACAAGGTTTTGTTTGCCGCCATCTCTGTATGATGGTCAATGTACCTCGTTTCTTCATTCTGGGCTACTGCAGGTCAGGAACATCGGTGGTTTTGAAAGAACCGAATTCGATGGACATCTCAGAATTCTAACTTATTAGGTAATACCCCGAAGGCGACACGTACTGAATACATCTAGTGATTGCAGGAGTGTGGCAGATAAAGAAGTAGAGACTTTTCATTATAAGCTTGATCACTGATTCCAACTAAGTGTTCTAATCCTAAATATACTGAACGGAAATGTATCACCAGATGCACAACTCGCTTACGGTAACTCCGTCAAATGGCCAAGACATTTCAAAATCCCTGCTCAAGGTCGTTCTTAAGAAAAAACTAACATTTTTATTTTTCGGTCAATATCGGTTAAAACCGGTTCCAGGAAAATAAATTACGGTTAGGGTTACGGTAACGGTTTTCATAAAATTCAAATAACGGTTTCGTTCCGGTTACTGAAAAAATTTCGTTTCTAAACGGTTTTCGGTTTCGGTTGCGGTTACGGTTTGAGTCCCTGGTCAAAAGTGTGCGCACTGCCACCCCTAGTCACGAACTCAGAGTGGTCTTTTGCATGGCTGGAGTGTCCATTTTAGCCTAGCTTCATAAACAAGATATTCTGGGATAAAGCAAGGCATACATAGTCCCAGTCACAGCTCTTCCATAGGTGCCATGTGGTTGAACATTCTTAAAACTCAGAAGTATCGACCACTTGCAAGTCAAACATACATTACATCCAGTCTCCTAGCATGATCTCTCGGGAATCTTGCCTTCATCTAAATTCTGGAAACCTGCAATCTTCAATGGTCAAGTGCCTAGCCAGCAGATATAGCCAGCCTTGGCCTACAGCTTGGACAGTGGCCATAGTCTCTCAGAAGCACGGAAAAATACCTCCATGGTTATCTTCCATGGAGATATTCTCCATATGGCAGCCAAAGAGCAGGGCAGACCAGGGAGTAGAGCCCACTGTCAGCACAGAATGAAGACTCCAAGAACTTGACAACGCCCTTGTTGCCAGCAAAACCATGGTACTATAGGGCAAGAATTATGAATTGAATGGAACTGACAAACTTGGCTACTTTCTTAATTTGGGGTGCCGGCCAAGAGGATTATTTTTAAGTTTCCATGCTTCAATTGGTCTCTTATTTTTACCTTCAGGGCACCCACTCAAACAGTTCAAAACAAACAAACTGCCCCATTCGGAACCACACTGCAACAACTGGCCCATAGGGCTTCAGCCACTCTTTGCCCATATGTCTACACTTCTTTACCCAAAGAAAATATATAAAAAATATAAAAAAGCACACAGGCATAAATCCAAAGAATGCTAATGAAATAGACCTCTTGGAAAATCGAAGCGATCATAGCAGTGCAGTGCCGTAAAAAGCATCTTGGGAATCCATTGGTCGTAGTTGCGATTCGCTAATCTCGATTTACAACATCCTGCCACGACCAAATACAGCGCATGCATTTTCAAATGTGCAACTTTCCTTTAATTTATAGTACTGTAGGTGCTGCCAACCAATATGGATAGAATACTCGGGCATGTTTTCTGGGGCTCCCGACGTACGAATATGTGCGCAGGTAAACACACGAAGAAGTGTGCTCGGTCGATCATCCTGTTTCATCGTCTCAATGTCCTAGGCTTCTTAAATGATCCATCATCCAGGATGGTCACGCTGCACTTTGCAGTTGTAGCCTGGCCGCCAGGAGGGTATGGGACACAGCCAGCCATACTCCTACTCCTCGCTAAATCTAGGCAGGTCCTTACAACCGCTGGAGGTCCATATTTCAATGGGAACTCTCACAAAGATGAATGGGTACAATGCAAGCGAGCGCAGACTCTATTTTCATGCAGTGCTCAGAATGAGATGCACTACTTTGTCAACGGGACGGTCGAAATCATTCCACTCTTCTCCATAGCCAAAGAGGTCCTCTCCATGTGGATTTTTGGAAGTAGTCTATTGCAGCATGTGACGTTTGGAGTTGAGCAGAGGACCTAAGCATGCAGCTCGCTGTGGCTGTCTGTCTTGCGCCACACTATATATAGTATGAACAGTGGTGAACTAAACTGGATTGAAAAAATCTCACAGATATGGTCAGCATACAAAAATGTATGAATCTACACATAAGTTGCAGTTGTCACATTTGGTCCTTGACCAGTTTTTTATCTCCTGAATTCCATAGGTCATAATGAAGTTTAAAAAGTCAAATTTGGGGGTTTTACGTGCCAAACCAATGACGGGCATCTGGCACACCCCAGCGGAGGACTGAGGATTAATTTCGACCACTTGAGGATCTTTTGTTGTGCAAATGAAAGCTTGGTTACACGGCGCCTTCTTCGCTATAAGCCTCCGTCAGATTGTGGGCACTTCGGCCGGGATTAAAACCCGCCACATAGGGATCCGTAGGCCAGTGCTCTCGCCTCGGAGCCACCGAGGCGGCATCATAATGAAGTTTGATTTTAGTTTTATTATACTTCAAGGTGACTCTAAAACCACCAGATTGAAGAGTAAGGAATCTTAATTTATTTATAAATTTAATACCCTTGAACTGAAGGGCCTTAGCATTTCTAAAGGAACCTTACCATCTTCATTCCTTGAAATTTAATGTAATCTTTTATTTGGCGCCAAACTGTTTCTTTTTTTTTCTTGCTTGAATGTTTCAAATGACAAGAGCAAATATTTCTACATATTATGGCGTCAGGTATTGTTGGCTTAATACAAACCACATGCCCCAAAACTGATTTTGCCGAAGTAACTGCATGATTCTTCAAATTAAATTTCATAAGAAGGCTTAGTGAGTTTGTAATTTT